AAAGTAATAATTAGTATAGGAAAAGCTGCATATTAATGAATATTAAAATAAGTTTAAACTTTTTCAGATGTCCATTTTATTTAAAATAAATGAAGTTTGATTTCACGCAATTATCCTTTTATTCAAAAATTTTTTTTACTTTATCCATTTATCGCTTGTGTTTATATTAGATAAATTCTATTTTGACAAAATTTTAAATTAAACTCTAATTATTACTAATTAAACTTCTTTCTTTAATCACTTGAGAAAAAGAAATACTATTTATAGTATTAAATAATAAGAGTCTCAGAGATGATAATTGAAACTGTACTGACAGGATGTTCGATAATAACAAGAACATGGAATATCTCCAGTAGAAATTCAAATAGCATAACAAGTCGTTCGATAATGTACGATAACGTCGAGCAAAATATGCTTTAAGTCTTACGCAGAGGTACCAGCGAGATAATATTGTGCCATTTCCTTATACATCCCGACTTCAAGTGGGACGATAATATGTTGTGCAACAGCGGGCCTCGGAGCACAGAAGAGAGGTTGTCTTCATTGGCATAACAAATTTCAAGTGCCCGAGGTGAAAATTGTCAATTGTTGTGAATGTGACTGGCGTACCGCATGGCGTTTACAACTAGTTGGCTCGTATACTGCCTAAACAATCTCAATAAATCCCTTAATTTAAATGGCAAATGATGTTTACAGCAAAGCTATCGTGACGCTACCCATTGTTGATTGTATGCAACTTTCGCGTGAGCTTCATAACAAATCCTATAATTATTGACAGATCTTTAATTATCTCTCATAAAATTCTTCGCGTGCTAAAAATAGATTCCCATTTGCGCTCTTCGAGAGCGACCAAACACCGATAGTGCATTATCAATTACACTTTGAGCTCTTATCGGCAATCACGAGAATGTTCCACTCTTCAATTAATCAATCGGCGAAAAATGGTAGAACATGCATCGGGAGAAACGAAATATTCGCCAATAATAATAATGTAATTGTATTAATTTACAATTTAAAATTGTGTTAATCAATCGCAAAAGAAAAATTAATTACAACAAAATTTGCTGGACCAGACCGTTATTTCTGTGTAGTTCGTTGAATCATTTTTCCTATTTTCTTCCTAATTATTTCAGCCTTAAAAATGATTGGCGATTCGCATCAAAGACTCGCCATTATCAATCGTCGATAATGGAAAGCTCGATTCGGTTGCAAAATCGCAATAAAATAAGAGTAGTTCGCAGCCATATCCTTCCGCCAGTATCCTGACGGCGAGAGGACGAACAGGATCGCGGAAAATATTTCTCGCGATATGGAAACTCGAATTTATCAGAAACGCACTGCGTTTTAACGGTTAGCGCCTTTAAAAGGAAATTACATCCAAAGTAATATCCGCCGTGGCGCGCATTGAATTCGGCGCGTTTCATTACCATTACGTGATTTAAATTTATTATCGGCCGCGATCATCGTCGGACTTTAAAATCGTCGCGTCAATCCGGCGACGCGCATCCGACGCACCGACGCGTTTATCCGCTCTTCTCAGTAATCCGTATATTGATAATTATGCGTATAGTAAATAATTATATAATATCAATAATGATAATTTGGTAACATAAAATTAAAAGTTCAAAAGTTCAAATTAGATGAACAAAAAGAATTGCAAATTGATTATGGTAGAGTCTACCTTAACATAGAATATTTTAATATATGAGATAAAAATACGATTTTGTAACGAGAAGAATTATTACTACGTAATAATTATTCTACATTACGAATTTATATTGCCTAATGAATTTACTTTCAAGTTATTATCATGAAAAAAACTTTCCAATATTAAAAATAAAGCAAGAAATATGTGTCAAAATATATATATATATCATGTGATAAATACAAGATAATGCATACAAAAAATTTTGCAATAAAATAATTGATAAGGAAGATCTTTTCACCAAATAAAAATTCCTTGAAATAAGTACATCGCTTTTTCTTTGAGCAATCGAGATGTCGCGCTGTCGGTTCGAAAAGCTGGCTGCAATGATCGATACACGAGAGAGGAAATTCGATATCGTTCAATCTACTCCGTTGGCGTAGATATATAGTCTTTGGAAAAGGTCCCGCATGTACCTGCTGACATTGCATATTACGACAATGAACTAGCGATGCTCACCTGGCTTTTTCGATGAGATCACCGAACAATACTCTTAGGTACTCTCACGACACCTTATACGGTTGCCGGTTTTAAGCCATTCAAAGTAGTTAGAATATAATGTATATTGATCTTCCTAAGAAAAATGCACGTCAGCTATAAAGCGTTATATATTTAAGTTCAAAAGCATTGAATTTAAAATCTTGCAAAATGTTTCTTAAATCAAGTGTGAAAAGAATAAGTAAAAGTAAAATATAATTAAAGATAAAATTAAATAATGTTGTAAAAGAATAATATTTAAAGAGAGTCATGTGTATACAAGGTGCTCTGAAATTTGTAAAAATTTAAAATATTGTAGCAAGAAAGTCCTCAAAAAATTAAGTCCTCAAAAAAGTTATTTGTAAATTTTTATTTTAAGTAGTAGTTTTTGAGGTATAAGGGTTTACATACTGCTAATTACAGATTACGTTTGGACAATCACTTGTGAGTGATTATACATAAAATAGTCTCATCGTATCTATACTACACCTACGTCTCGTGGACAGGTGGCCATCTAAACGTAGTCTATAATTAGCCATATTTTAAACTTTATTATTTCAAAAATTATTAAAAATTTAATAGTTACAAATTTACAAATAACTTTTTAAATTAATTTTTCGAGAATTTTCTTATTATAATATTTTAAGTCGCGAATTTTAAGATACTCTATATATAAACTATTGTCTTCTGTGAGATTAAAGCTTCCACCAATGTAACATTAATTTTAATCTGGATTCAATTTACTCTGTATCTTTTCCTCATTCTAAGAATTAGAAAAGATAAATGGTAAATTAAACGAAGATTAAAGTTAATCTTGATGGAACTGGACCCAATCCAAAGATTTCTAAGATTATACAGTATCTCGTTTAATTTATTTATTATTTATTATTACGTAACTTAACATTAAAAAAGTATAATTCTTCCGTGTCAGATCACGTTTTCATATTGCTAAATCTGTCGTCGATTTCTTTCGAATTAAATTACCGCTGGCATAAGTTCTTTAACACAGCGTATATCCTCTACATCTATTAATTTCAGGTGTCACATGTGTCGTATCTAGTTGAAAGATAAATGAAGTACATGCAGCCGCGTTCCTAGCCACGGTACAATATTTAGATAACTGTTCGCTTCAAGATGTCACGACTTACAAGCGGACAGGAAGTCACCGCGGGGATGACGTTTCCAAGATGATCTCGCGAAGACGAAGAGGCGTAACAGTTCGCGCGATTATAGAGTCTCGCGTTGCTCTCTTGGCTCTTTCATCGAGACGCAACAAACTCGCAACTCGCGGTTGTCCCGTGGCCGTTTTCTCTCAACGTTTCCGGCAACGCAGCAACGCGCGCGTTCCGGACCGATAAATAAGCGCTGAATAGTCTCCGCTTCGGCCGCGAAGGATAGGCGCCTTTCTCCGCAAGATATGATTGATCGCGCATCGGTCTTTCGTGCAGCGTGCGTGCGCGCGAGTGCTCTTTCTCTTACAGATAACGCATGCCCGGTAATATTATTATATTCCGACGTATGTACATATACGACGGCGGTGATTCCACGACGCGACGACTATCGACAGACACTTTGAATCGGTCGCTGCCTGGCTGGAAAGCACCGCGACATAATAAGCCTATTGTAAGGAGTTCGATCCACGCGTTGCACGGACAATCCTTTTCCTCTCCGTCTGCTCGGCGCCACGTCGCGCGGGAAATCGATCATGTTCAAGATACAAGCAAACTCGACCGCGAGTAGAATGCTCCAACATCAGTTTATTAAATCGATATCTTTCAGCTTTCCACGATCAAATAGTCAAAGGACGCGATCGCGATCACCGCGGAGCGATGATCCAAAAAAGGAGCGTCCGTGACGATATACCGACAATCGCGCTGATCTCGATTACCTTCCCGAATGACCTCGCGAGATTCATGTCGTCTGTGAATCGTATTGCGGTAAATACGACATTGGCCGGCAATACTCTCAGATCGAACTGGTCGATCGGCGGGAAGGAAGATAAGGAAAAGACAATGAGAACGATTGAGAGCGGATATAAGGGTAAAGCGACGATGGGGGGCTATTTCTGAATCTTTAGTCGGTTTACAAGTAGCGGGGTCACGGGCCGCCCCATAAAGAAGCATGACTTACATTGCTGCTATGTGGGCGCGCACCACGAAAGTCTGCCATCTATCTCCAAGGTTCGCCCAACCTCCCGCCTTTGGATGCCCATCCGTTGTTCCGCCGCTCTCTGGAAGAAAGGAAGGTGGAGGATCAGCGCAAGAAGTCTGGGCTTTTGCCGGTCAGAAGAATATAAAGAAAGAATGAGAGAGAGGGAGAGAGAGAGAGAGAGAGAGAGAGAGAGAGAGAGAGAGAGAGATATGGACGAAGGATGCCACTGGCTCCGGCATAGCATCGTCGTCGCGACCAACGCATAGATAGTAAACGACCCCACTGATCCCTTACGCGAAATCCTCGTCGATTTACGCTACCTCCTGGTGAACGCAATCGATTCTTTTTATGTTGCGGTATCAATTGTAAATATGAAATAAGAATTAGTGCGTAAGTTTTTTTTCGTGTAATATTAAATATGATATAAAAATAAGCGGTTCTTAGTATCGAATGGCAGATATCATTCTGATATCATAAATAATCAAAATAATAAATATTATTGATATTTATAATTTATAATAAGATTTCTGCAAGAATATTATAGATAGAGTAACATTAACATTAGAGTATTGTGATAACTAATTTTCGCTTGAAAAGCTAAAGAATATCATTTTCGAAAAGATGCAAAATCATACATAATTTGCTTACTATAGTCGATATTTTCCAGACTCACAGTGACTTGCAATCTGAGGCCATTCTCGCGAGAAACGAAAGCAAGAAAACGTGTACATGAAGAACGAAAGACAAATAGGCAGACAAATAGCACAAGGAACATCTCCTCGGTCAATAGTCCAAGCTACGTGCGAGGGAAGAAACGCCTATCTCAAGTTCTGCAGCCACGCTGTCTGGATGGTGAGAGAGAAAAAGAAAGAGAGAGAGAAGAGAGGCGTGAGGAGACAAAACGGGGATCCTCTCCGTAGCGCGGACGCCACGCGCGACTATAACAGACTATAAGGAAGAACCTCTTAATCGGGGACCCGGACCTCTGCAGGGCACCGAGGTCTTACCCTCGTGGCTCACCCAACGGCGCGGTGTATCTCGACGGGGCTGACCCCCAACCCCACCACACGCCGTCACCCACGGGCCATCATCGTCGATCACCAGCGGAAGAAGAACGCGCCTCCAGGCGCTTCTCGGTTCACTTCCCATCGGCTTTGCCCCGCATTCGTGTAATCAGCCGACGATGACCCTTTAGTGCCCAGAGCGTGTATACCCAAGGCAACTGGACGATCGCTCGTGCGTCGCACGAGCGAACTCGTGCCGTCTCTTCTCTCACGATTAAGCACCAGATGCGACTCACGCGAGTCTCTCAGATGTAACATATACATCGTATATTTTTGAAAAGTCCGTCGAGTGGTTGCAGCAATTAATCGTCTGTTATTTATGAATTACATTTTTTAATTCGATAAAAAAGTAAAAGCATATGAAAATTTTACATGGAAAATAATAATAGGAAAAATTAATTAAAATCTTTTATCGTTTTTGTGTTTGTACACAAAAACGAAATGTTTCTGACTTACACACATATATGTTCCATATATTCTTTCTCATTCCCTTCTCATTCCCTTAGTGTAAAATATTTCATCAGTATATACATCTAATTTAATTGAAATAAATTCTTATAATTTCTTAGTAACTTTCTCAATGATTTTACTGCATTAAATTTGCGTCGCTGTTAGGTTGAAAAATCAATAAAACCCCGAGTGAATCTCGCGGCAAAATATATCGACAATATTCGTCTGCTACGCAAGTCTCATGCTCGCGATGGCTTCACCATTTGGAAAAGTTTGCGATCCTTTTTTCATAGGTACCATTGATGGCGCGCGGTTTCACAGATCGAAACTCCGTCACTAATTCGACCAGCTTATTCCTTCTCCCCAATCCCTTTTACGATTTTTTTCCCGAGTCGCGAGAATGGAATCCCATCTACTCCTGTCGCAACTACCTAGACCATGCGAGACTTCATGTCAGTTTTTTAATTCTGTGCCGACGTGGTCAACTTTTTTCTTTCGACTAATTCTATACTGAAGCCGCCTACTCTAGTCTCATTCCTGTAACTCTCTTCTTCCGGTCACATAAATATCTCGTGGAAGATATCCGTTCTGCGGTACGTAATAAAATATGCCGGTCGCATCGTAAATTTCGATCGAACATAGGTATTTGCAAACTTGTGGGGCTAAGCAAAGTACTATATTTCATCGAAACAACGACGTCGCGATGTGATCAATATGGACAAGAAATCATCAAGATAATCAATATTGACTTTTGCTCTTGCAAAAAATTCGACTGTTTGATCATTATATAATTATTTTGTCTGAGACACAAGTTAATTTTTAATTTAACAATACAATCCTGCCATTTCGTTTAAATGTGAAATTTAAAGGATATAAATAAAAGATACGGCTTTAATCTAAAAGTTTTTAAGTATTTAATAAAGACAATTAATTGATAGCTGTTAAAAAAATGAAGCAATATACATGAAGATAGAACAATCAGATTATGTGCAAAAGAAAAATTAATATTTTTTTACACATTGTATATAATATACTTTTCTTTCTAATTATGCTAAAGAGGATATGAATACGTGATATATATTTAAAAATGTTGCATTATTATTTTTTAATAACAAGTAATTTTTCAAATAAAGTCTTACAAACTTATTTTGAGATGCTAGATCTTGACAGCTATAAACTATAGATAATAAATTACAGATAAATCTGTGTCAAAAGTGTTGAAAAGAAAAAAAAATTAAGTTAAAGCTATAAATAAACGATGATAATGCCCACTCGCTAATTTTCATCGTCTTCCAATTCTCTTCTCATTGCTCCATACTTATCGCTATTTACACGCGACCATTTTCCCCAATATCAGGCGGTCCTTTATAACACGAGAATTACAGGAAAGTGCCACACGTAGAGAAAGCGAGAGGGAAGCAATCGCGCAGTGGCACGGTCCGGTAGATGCACAATGTACCAGAGGGACCACGAAGACAACAAATCCATCATCTCCGGTGGGAGAGAGGCTGAAAGGGCTCCACCGCGGTAGCGCACTCTGTATAATTGTTGCTCCGGCCCCCGGTGGCCTGGTCTCTACCCCCATCTATTCCTGATGGTCTGCTATTCTCTCTCTCTCTCTCTCTCTTTCTCTCTCTCTCTCTCTCTCTCTCTCTCTCTCTCTCTCTCTCTCTCCTTGATACTTCAACTACTACGTTTATATATATTACCAAGTTTTACAAACGTTTAAAATATAACCTTTGAAACAGAGATAGGCTACGGAGAAGGAAACGGAGAACAAGGGAGAACAGCGGGGAAGGGATTAAAGGGGTATCGGAGATACGGTAGTGTTGTGGTGTACCGGTGTTCCATTGTTCATCTACCACAATTCATGCAGCTTCGGGTCTCCCATGTTGCTCCTCTTTCGGACCTCTCTTTTTCTCCCAAAATCTCCGTTCCTATCCCGGCTATTTTTTTCTCTTTCTCTCACATTTACATCGGGCATTACGTATGTGCCTCCGTGCGATGACACGGGCCATTGAATACCCGACTTTCGTGTGCGACTCTTCTCTGTCCTTTCCCCGTTCCACCCTCGTACGGATCGACTCTCCAACCTCTCGACCAACCCTCTTCCCACCCTCTCTCACTTTCCGCTCGCGAACAAACGTGGACGCAAAAGAAGTATCCTTGAATGAGCGGTACCTACGGATACTATGGAGTTTCCCTGTTATTAGCATCCACTCTGTCTCTCAGTGCACGGCCACGAAGCGAAAGCCGAACGGTCATTATGGAGATTGAAACACCGTTCGAGCGATGCGTTCGTTCGTCCCTTTTCCCTCCTTTCTTTCGTCTGCCTCGTTCTCGTTTCCATTCTCGTTTCCATTCTCGTTTGCTCATTCGAGGTCGCGTAATCATGTGAACAGATAAAATCGCGTGACGAGTAATGCGAAAAACATTTTTTCGACAGCGACAATTTTACGAATAAATTCTAAGTGGTTCTTTAAAGACAACTATTAAAGGGCTTCAAGACATTTCATAAATTTAAAATTGTTCAAATCTTAAGATTTTCTAATTGTTAAGTGCTAGAATGTAATCAAGATAAGAAAATAATATTTTCAACGTAATAAATAATGATTTATAAATAATGCGAGTCTTTTCTTTCTCAACTAAATACAAAAAAATTACTTTTCTTTCTCTTCACAAGTATCAAATTTATATATAAAAAATTTGATTATTCAATATTTCTTAAATGGAGAAATATAAAAATCTTAAAAAAAAAAATTAATTTGCTAATATCCTCGCGGTTCAAACTTCTCCGCTTATAGTACCGAATTTGAAAGAATTTTGACTTCTTCATAGCTATTTTGAAATAGCTAACATATTCATGCTTAGTTTCTTGACGGCATAAACATGATGATTTACGCGACGTCCGATGGTTATCCGATAACTCATCCTATACGAATGCGTGGATGGAATATGTGGAGTCTCGTAATCCGTCAGCGACGGTTGCAGCAATACGACGAGAGCCGTCATTAGTCAAGAATGCGTTGACTACAGTGCCTATTCTAGCATTGCGTATCATAATAGCTTTGCGTTATTCGCACTGCCATCATTTATAAAAGCAAAATCTTTCTGCTAACAGTAAAAATTCATCATCGTACGCATAATAATATAAAATATAATAGTTTTATATATATAAATAAATATTTTTAAATTACATACTTTTAAATGTTACGACAAATCGAAAAAAAAAATTATTAATTTCAGTATAAAGCGCACAAATAAAAAATACAAGTAAAAATGTACAAATAAAAGATTTGTAAAATATTTTAGTCAACAAAATTGTACTTTCTTATCAACTTGTCATAAATTAAAGAAACGAGAAAATAAAGTCATTCGTAAAACTATAATATCTTACTTCCAAATACACTTGTAAATGTATATAAATTTAATCATAACAATTATATCTCTCAATGATTCACCAACATGCGAGAGTTACCCTCTCGTAAATCCTAATCTCAAGACAATTTCATCAGATTACCATATCTCAAAAGACGCGCAATTATGGAAATGGCATTCTCAGCGACTTCCTAAGAAGGTACACTACCAAGAATAGTCGCAGGCGCTCGCACGCGTACCTAAAAGTCCTAATTAAACAGAATCCCAATCTCAAAAGACTTCCAGAAGACTCACAATTTCATAACTGACAAATGCAATTTCTTAACGGCGCGCGCAAAATGCATATCTTCGCTATTTTTAATCTAAACAATTTCAGTAGTCGCAACTCCGCGAACGGACACGTGTCCCACGTCTGGGCCTTACACGCGCGAGCGGGAGAGGCCCATCGTTGTCCGTGACAGCCTAAGGATCCTTCCCTGGGCTTGGACATGCAATTAACCGCCGGCTACACTTCTCCAGGACGAGCGGGGTGAGAGAGCAGCGATTCTCAACCGACTAATTCACGGTGCGATATTGGATTCGGATGGTCAGGGTACCTCCGGGGCCTTTTCGCCGCTCGGGAGAGACACGGCTGAGGCTTCAAGCCGCTCCAAGATACCCATCCCCATAAAAGCTTCCATGCATGTCAAGCATTATACGACCACGTTACTATTAAATACGTCAAAGCCCCGTATGTTTATTGCATATTGGATGCCGTGCACTTCGGCTCACCCTGCCGGTCCTCGTAACCCGAACCGATCGCCATTGTCGGTAAGGGACTCGTCGTGAGCTCTCTCGGACTCGCGCTCTTTCTTTCACTCGCCATCATCGTCTTTTGCCTCCAACCCACCGATTCTTCGTTCACCGCCTCGACGGAAATGACCTCGATGCTGTCTCCGCGTGTCTGCTGCGACAACCGGCCGTCCACAATCTCGCACGTTGTCGATGTATTGATAGGAGCCACAGGATGCGTTATAAATTACTTTGCAGTGCCTAGTCAACGTCAATCGCGCCAAAATGTTTCGAGGTAGTCGGCCTTCAACTCGCGATAAACTAAATATATTTTTTTTTCAAGGAAGAGAAAAATTATACACAGAACATATAATTATCTTTCTTTTTTTTTATATATATCTTTCAGCTAATTTGTTAGCAAAGTATTTTTTCTCGCGATATCAAAGTGTTAAAATATCTTTTTCCAAAAACATGTTTCCTGGAATGACACTTTTCAATCTTGAATTTAAAAAATCTTGAAACAATGTCTTTTGGAACAATAATATAGTGTGTTTTATAAAAGTGCAGAATTTATTTTGAAAAATGTGTAAACTTTAATTAAAAAAAAAAAAAGCAATTATTTAAGATTTTTATTCAAAATTCCCTTTCGTCCGAGTGTTAACTATCGAATATTAACTACAGAGGATGACATTTTCGCCTTTCTCTCCGTCAATTCGATTCGAGATATCTCGATGAAACGCGGGATCCACGGACACCCCGTCATGGATGATGCCGCAGGGTTTGACCGAAAAAACGCTTCAAGTCCGCTCTTATTATTCAGGATTTCGGGCCGTTCGACGGAGATACGGTGAAT